TGGGCTACTCTTATTACAAACGCTACTTTTAGACCGTCAGCTCGCTACTTTTAGCAATTTGAATTTGGCAACCCTGAGTCAGAATTCGGCTCAAAAATCACGCTCAGGAGTCAAATTTCCAACATTTCAGATATTTTGAAAACTGCAGGGGGGGTTTGGGCAAAATATGACCCATCGCCGTTTTCAGTAATTGGCATATTTTCGGTATAAAAAGTCGTAATTTGAAAATGAAAATAGGTGCAGAGAGTCAGAATTCGGCTCAAAAATCACGCTCAGGAGTCAAATTTCGGACATTTCAGATATTTTGAAAACTGCAGGGGGGTTTGGGCAAAATATGACCCCTTTGCCGTTTTCAGTAATTGGCATATTTTCGGTATAAAAAGTCGTAATTTGAAAATGAAAATAGGTGCAGAGAGTCAGAATTATTTTCGGTGTAAAAAGTCGTAATTTGAAAATGAAAATAGGTGCAGAGAGTCAGAACAGGGGTGCCAGATGGCCTACAAGTAGCCCATCTGGTTTTCTTCCAGTAGTTTTCTGGAAGTGGACCTCATACCCATCCAGTGGGTGGAAGTGGACCCCATACCCAACTTGCTAGTGGTAGTGGATCCAAATGATTGTTTTGTCAGTAGACTTACTCACCAGTCTCAGTACTTTGTTATATAATTTTTCTGAGAGAAAGCGAGAGGATGTTTGAAGAGAGATGTATAAAGATGTACATAATATGTGCGAAGAACTTGCAGATTGGCTCCTCCAGAGAGGGAGGTTAATGCCTGAGGATTGCCGTCCTGGTCGCAGTTCTCTCTCGCAAGTAAGTGACCTCAGCATTACATTTTTTATGTCCAGGATTATTCCTAGATACTGAAAAGTGTCCACCTATTCAATTGGTTGACCCTGTACTTTGAGTTGGTTGTTGGGCTTCACTTTTTATGGGCATGGCTTTTGTATTGGTGGGGTTGAGTTTGATACCAATCTGCTTTGCCTCTTCACTCATGGTTTATTCACCTAGTTGTGCTTGCGGTGGTTGCGCTCTGCTCTTTCGGCCCACCTCTCAACTGTCAATCAACTACTAATTTTTTTTCTCCACACAAACCCCCCCCCCCCCCCCCAGAAAGCAGCCCGTAACAGCTGTCTAACTCCTTGGTACCTATTTACTGCTAGGTAACAGAGGCACAAGTTTGGTTTGGGCAGAAACTCTGCCTATTTTTGTTTCCACCGGCACCGGGAATGGAACCCAGGACCACAAGACTGCATATCCAGTGTGCTGTCTACTCAGCCACCAACACCCAATTATTATTATTATTGTCTAAGCATTTGGGTGCAAGGCGCGCTGCATCCCTTCCTTTTATGATGATGACAAAGTCGTCCGTATAGTTTACAGCCTGCAATGTTGTGGGAGTTTCAGCCTCATTATTCCTGTTTTATTTAGAGGGAGTATGAGTGAACAAATCCACAAGGGCCGCGACGAGGATTCGAACCTGTCCGAGAGCATCCCAAACGCTGCCTTAATCGACTGAGCTACGACATGGTAAAATGAATTGCAACCAGAAATTCTACTGAATTTACTTGGATCTTGCAGTGTAAGGGAGTATGAGTATTTTCTGACCAGGGGGAGAAAGATACTGGCAGTATGGGGCGTTAAAGTTTATTGAAGATTAAATTCTGCAGAACATGTAAATGTGTAAAGTTCAAATATAAAGTAAGTAATTATATAAAGTTTATATTAAACACGGTTTATATTATAGGCTTATAACAAAGTTGATATTATTAAACTTAATATTGAACATGTAAATATATAAAGTTTCAAAATATATAATTTAAGGACTATATAACGTTTATATTAAAATATATAAAGTAAATATATAAAGTAAGAATTAACAGTAACAATTCCAAGGACTAGATTTAACTTAAAAGGTACACCCGTAGTAAGTATGAGACCTTAGCCTATAGTGACATGGAAACTAATTCTGCAGAAACCTAAAGGTTAACTGGTACTAGAATTAAGGCCGAGTGCAAATGTGTAGTAATTATATAACACTAGGATATACAGGCAGGACACAAAGAATAACTAATAAGTGAGAGACCACATAACACGTAATGTACCCGGCCAAGAGGCCGTAAAAGACCTAATGGATAAGGAGAAGGGGGTGTGACTACAAGTAGGGCTTACTAGCACCTAGACTGGGCAAAGTATTAGCTGCGGACAGCGGGACACTTGGGGACCGGCGCTGCACCCCCCTTCCCACATGCAGTGGGGAGACAATCGGGACAACTGTGCAAAGCATGACGGGGGTACAAAAGCAGCCGCTTGCAAAGGGAGGGAGGGTGGGGTTTTGCGAGGGCAGCGGCGAGGGCAGGCGGAGTGAGGCAGAGCCCCAGTGTGCGCCCGTATTTATACAGGCCCCAAACTGCCCGCGCAACGCGCTGCGCAAATTGTTTCTTTCTCCCCCGCCAGAAAAATCCCCGCTTGCGATCAAGCAGTGACCATTTTCTGACCAGGGGGAGAAAGATACTGGCAGTATGGGGCGTTAAAGTTTATTGAAGATTAAATTCTGCAGAACATGTAAATGTGTAAAGTTCAAATATAAAGTAAGTAATTATATAAAGTTTATATTAAACACGGTTTATATTATAGGCTTATAACAAAGTTGATATTATTAAACTTAATATTGAACATGTAAATATATAAAGTTTCAAAAATATAATTTAAGGACTATATAACGTTTATATTAAAATATATAAAGTAATATATAAAGTAAGAATTAACAGTAACAATTCCAAGGACTAGATTTAACTTAAAAGGTACACCCGTAGTAAGTATGAGACCTTAGCCTATAGTGACATGGAAACTAATTCTGCAGAAACCTAAAGGTTAACTGGTACATGAGTATTTATGACTCGTATGATTGCTTCAGTAAGATTTTGCCTCGTGTGTTTAGCAACTTCTGCTCTGTTGACTCTTAAGTTGAAATCTTAATGGGTTTGTAACTGCACTGTGTTAGATAATGTTCGGGAGAAGTCGTGACGGGAGATGTCTCCGTTCAATGTGTCCAATTGATTGACGATTGATGAAGATTAAGCCACCCAAGAGGTGGCACGGGCACGAATAGCCCGTAAGTGGTGGCCCTTTTGAACCATTACCAGTATCAATAGATGATACAGGCGATGAGTCACAATAACGTGGCTAAAGTATGTTGACCAGACCACACTAGAAGGTGAAGGGACGACGACGTTTCGGTCCGTCGTGGACCATTCTCAAGTCAATTGTGACTTGAGAATCGACTTGAGATCCAGGGACGTGCCCAAAACGCTACGCGTACTAGTGGTTGTACAAGAATGTAACAACTCTTGTATATATCTCAAAAAAAAAAAGTTATAGCAAGTCTTCTTCCGTGTTAATTTCCCTACCGATTTTCGTATCATCGGCAAATTTGCAATTGTTGCTACTCAAACCTGAATCTAAATCATTTATATATATATTACATATTATTATATAACATGCCCTAATTATATTATCAAGTGCCATGTATTATTCATATTCATAACTTATTATTTATTGATATATATATATATATATATATATATATATATATATATATATATATATATATATATATATATATATATATTTTATTAAATATGACCGAAAAAGTAAGATTAATAATTCTAACACGAATTTTCTCAATCTTTCGTACATTATGCTTCACTGTTGGAGGTAAGTCAAAAATCACTTCTCCAAAATTCATTTTTATTTCTAGTCTGACGCGACACGGGCGCGTTTCGTAAAACTTATTACATTTTCAAAGACTTCACAAATACACAACTGGAACTTGCGTTTCGATTTGCCTAATCAGTTGTGTATTTGTGAAGTCTTTGAAAATGTAATAAGTTTTACGAAACGCGCCCGTGTCGCGTCAGACTAGAAATAAAATGAATTTGGAGAAGTGATTTTTGACTTACCTCCAACAGTGAAGCATAATGTACGAAAGATTGAGAAAATTCGTGTTAGAATTATTAATCTTACTTTTTCGGTCATATTTAATAAAATATGTCTACAGGAAAGACTGCTACCAAAATATACTAATATATATATATATATATATATATATATATATATATATATATATATATATTTTTTTTTTTTTTTTTTTTTTTTTATAATAATAAATAAATATGGAAGGGAGTACCACCTCTAGCTGGAAGAAGGGGGATATATATATATATATATGTCGTACCTAGTAGCCAGAACTCACTTCTCAGCCTACTATGCAAGGCCCGATTTGCCTAATAAGCCAAGTTTTCCTGAATTTATATATTTTCTCTAATTTTTTTCTTATGAAATGATAAAGCTACCCATTTCATTATGTATGAGGTCAATTTTTTTTTTATTGGAGTTGAAATTAACGTAGATATATGACCGAACCTAACCAACCCTACCTAACCTAACCTAACCTATCCTCATAGGTTAGGTTCGGTTAGGTAGCCGAAAAAGTTAGGTTAGGTTAGGTTAGGTAGGTTAGGTTGTCGAAAAACAATTATTTCATGAAAAGTTGGCTTATTAGGCAAATTGGGCCTTGCATAGTAGGCTGAGAATTGCGTTCTGGCTACTAGGTATATACATATATATATATATATATATATATATATATATATATATATATATATATATATATATATATATATATATATATATATATATATATATAATATATATAAACATAGAGTTTAAGAGAAATTACAATCTTGTAAAGCCACTAGGACGCATAGCGTTTCGGGCAACATTATCAACTTCTATTGTCTCGTTATGGTCATAATTTTGATCTGCCCGAAACGCTATGCGTGCTAGTGGCTTTACAAGAATGTACCTTCTTGTATATAAATAAATAAATAATAGTATTTTGAAAAACGAGAACAGCAGCGAACACAGGCCAGCACATATTTATATACGAAAGGGTTCGAACATACACAAACTTGTTTGTGACGAACTGTTTTTACGGTATCGGAGACGGGTGTGTACGATTCGAGCAGTGGTGGTGGTGTTGGGCTCCCAGTCACCAGTGTGACAGTGGTCGTCAGTGTTGGAGCTGCAGCAGGGCCCATACTACATCCCCGCTCACTTCGAATTTGTTCCTCCACTAGCTGGGTATAGTTTCATTACAACAACGCTGTGTCTTCAAATTCGGACTGACAGGGCGAATACAGCCGAGGCCGTTGATACCAACAGCAACGAGAGACCGTGAAGATGCCTCTCCCTAGAGGTGAGCCATTTGACTTGTTATTAAGAACATAAGAACAAAGGCAACTGCAGAAGGCCTATTGGCCCATACGAGGCAGCTCCTATCTATAACCACCCAATCACACTCATATACTTGTCCAACCCGCGCTTGAAACAATCGAGGGACTCCACCACCACCACGTTACGCAGTAATTGGTTCCACAAATCAACAACCATGTTACCGAACCAGTATTTACCCATGTTATAAACTGATATGAGTGGGGCTTCTATGGGGTACTGGTACTATTAAGGGGTATAGGTAGTTAGAAGACAGGAGTATCATATATGGGAGAGCTAAAAGGCCCGGCCCCCAAAATAAACTATCCACAGTAGTAATAAATTGCTACAAGACCAAATATGTTCGTCTAAGGGTTGATCACTGCGCTCCCACCTTGGAAGAAGAGATACTCTGTAATTCATGTACTTATTTATTAACCCGTTAACAACCCCCCATATACACTCACACCAATAACAATAATAATAATAACTTTACCACACTATCTTACGTTAAAAGCCTTGGTCCACGTAGGCAGGATACAAGGTTTACACTAATAACAAGCTAGGGTAAAGTACTACTGGATAAGCACTGAAGCTGGATGCAGCTTAGGGTAGTGAAACCACGTGGGACCCTAATACAAAACACAACACTTAGGGTACCCAAACACTGGCAAAATACTATCCCCAGGTCTCACCAATCGTTACTACCAGAGTAGGCACACTCACTAATGCCCTGTACTTAGCTTAAGGATACAGGAACTTCAGGTAAGGGAAATAAGTAAGAGGAGAAGGAAGGAGAGTAGGGGAGCAGCCGAGGCCGTTGATACCAACAGCAACGAGAGACCGTGAAGATGCCTCTCCCTAGAGGTGAGCCATTTGACTTGTTATTAAGAACATAAGATCTTCCCCTATGCAACGTATTGTTACTTTATGAATGATTAGAAAGTATTAGTAAGCAAAGTTGGTGCCTATGTTATTATTTAATAATCAACCCCAGCTCAGTCTTTAAATGCTCTTTGAGAAACAATAATAGTCTTACGTCTGGCAGGAAGATACAAACAATTTCCATTCGAAATGCGCCAACTGTACTACTTAGGAAGTTTAATAGCTCAATTTTGACCTCTGGTTTCCACTGGAGAACCCAGGGTCGTAACACTCCTCCCCCCTTCAGAGAAAAAAAAAAAAAATGTGACCACTAGAATAGTAGTCATATTTTTTTTTTTGTAAGAGTATACAGAGAACAAAAAGAAAAACATGACAAAACAAAAAATCAACAAAGGCAACTGCAAAAAAAAATACAAAGGAGTTCTCTGAAAGAAAAAAAAACATACACAACAAAAATAAAAGAACAGGGAAGTAAATAAATTGGACACGGAATATTTAATGTCACAGGAGAACCTAAAAAAAATTAACTAAAGCATGACGGTTGGTAAATGGCTTTCTGTGGCTCAGATGAATGTTATTCAGGCAACCGGGACAGAGCGTCGGCTATTACGTTGAGTCTGCCCGGTAGGTGGGTAATGGAAAGATTGAAGGCCTATTGGCCCATACGAGGCAGCTCCTATCTATAACCACCCAATCACACTCATATACTTGTCCAAACCGCGCTTGAAACAATCGAGGGACTCCACCTGACCGCCTTGTCGAATTTCACAGAGTAATAATATACTGGGTGTTCCACCTGATCATCCCCAGTTTGCAACAACACTGCACCAGCACCCGAGTCAGACGCGTCAACATGAATTTTAAACGGTCGGTCGAACCTTGGACTAGCAAGCACTGGGGCGGAAGCTAAGATCAATTTCAAATTTTTAAATGCCTCTGCACAGTCTGATGACCACTTAAATTTAACGGCTTTCCGCAACAAGTCTGTGAGAGGAGTGGCAACACTGGAAAAGTTCTGACAAAAACGTCGATAGTACGCACACATACCGATAAATCTTTGAACGTCCTTTTTAGACTTTAGTACTGGATACTCCAGAATGGCATTGATTTTATCTTGCCGAGGTAACACTTTTCCTTGGCCCACTTCATAACCGAGGTACGTCACTGTGCCTTGGCCAAAATGACACTTTTTAGCATTTAAGGTAAGATTTGCCCTTTTCAAGATGGCAAACAACTGGCGTAACCTAGCTATGTGGTCAGCCCAATTACTGTCAAACAGCACGATATCATCTAAATACGCCCGACAATTTGGCACCTTAGCGAGTAGAGAGTTCATGAGTCTCTGGAACGTGGCAGGGGCATTACGCAAGTAATTGGTTCCACCTGATACTCAACAACCCCTGGGTGTCACAAACGCAGTGAGCTGTTTAGCACGTTCAGTGAGTGGGATTTGATAATACCCCCTCGAGAGGTCGAATTTCGAAACGTACTTGGCATTTCCCAACTCGTCAATGCAGTCCTCGAGGAGGGGCAGCGGATAGGCATCCACAATGGTCACCTTGTTGAGCTGCCGATAGTCGGTGCATAATCGCCAGGAGCCGTCTGGTTTGGGGACCAAAAGGCAGGGCGAGCACCAAGAGCCCTGGCTCGGCCGGATGAGGCCGTGCTGGAGCAAGAAGTCGACCTCCTTCCGTACGATGGCCTTCTTTTCTGGACTCATCCGATAGGGTTGAAGGCGAATGGGAGTGTAGTCCGTCAACTCGACATCATGGCAAATGGCATCAGTCTGGGTCGGGACCTCCCCGAACAGACTGGAGAATTCATCAACCAACGACTGCACCTCTTCACGTTGGGCCATCTGCAAATGGGACAGTTCCTCCACAGCATTCACAGAACTAGAATTATTGAAAATGAGATTAGTTGGGTCCCCAGAACAATCATCCCCTCTCTCACTGGAAATGGAAACATTGTGTTTTGTATTAGGGTCCCACGTGGTTTCACTACCCTAAGCTGCATCCAGCTTCAGTGCTTATCCAGTAGTACTTTACCCTAGCTTGTTATAAACTGATATGAGTGGGGCTTCTATGGGGTACTGGTACTATTAAGGGGTATAGGTAGTTAGAAGACAGGAGTATCATATATGGGAGAGCTAAAAGGCCCGGCCCCCAAAATAAACTATCCACAGTAGTAATAAATTGCTACAAGACCAAATATGTTCGTCTAAGGGTTGATCACTGCGCTCCCACCTTGGAAGAAGAGATACTCTGTAATTCATGTACTTATTTATTAACCCGTTAACAACCCCCCATATACACTCACACCAATAACAATAATAATAATAACTTTACCACACTATTGAAACGTTAAAAGCCTTGGTCCACGTAGGCAGGATACAAGGTTTACACTAATAACAAGCTAGGGTAAAGTACTACTGGATAAGCACTGAAGCTGGATGCAGCTTAGGGTAGTGAAACCACGTGGGACCCTAATACAAAACACAACACTTAGGGGTACCCAAACACTGGCAAAATACTATCCCCAGGTCTCACCAATCGTTACTACCAGAGTAGGCACACTCACTAATGCCCTGTACTTAGCTTAAGGATACAGGAACTTCAGGTAAGGGAAATAAGTAAGAGGAGAAGGAAGGAGAGTAGGGGAGCAGCCACAGAGTAGGTCTTAACCTCACGCCACCAGCCAAGAGAAGAGCGAGCTCCTCGCGACCACCTGGCCTCCCTCATGTCGTGGTGCCGGAAGGAGCCTAATTGATCGTGCAGCTAAGCACATTAAAGATCTTCCCCTATGCAACGTATTGTTACTTTATGAATGATTAGAAAGTATTAGTAAGCAAAGTTGGTGCCTATGTTATTATTTAATAATCAACCCCCAGCTCAGTCTTTAAATGCTCTTTGAGAAACAATAATAGTCTTACGTCTGGCAGGGAAGATACAAACAATTTCCATTCGAAATGCGCCAACTGTACTACTTAGGAAGTTTAATAGCTCAATTTTGACCTCTGGTTTCCACTGGAGAACCCAGGGTCGTAACAACCCAGCTTTCCTAAATCTAAATTTATACCCATTGTTTCTTGTTCTGTCTTGTCTTGATACTTTTAATACCTTATTAATATCCCCTTTGCTATGTCCTTTCATCCACTTCTAAACCTCTATCATTACTCTTTGTATTTTGAAATGTTAATAGTTGAGTTTGGAAACATTTTGACATTAACTTTACTTGAACATTTATAAAAACAAAAATATGTTCTTGACAATTGCACCAAGATGTTTTTGCCAAAAATTGGTGCACAGTGCAGGGGTTAACCTGTTCCCCCCCCCTCCTATCTCTGGGCACAAAAAGCTCTATCCAGATACCTCGCCTAAGAATCTCCAACAACCAAAATTTGCTTAGGTGGTACTTTTACAATGTGAACACCTTGAGGGACCTGTGCTCCCTTCGTTGTCTTGACTTTTGTGGGAACTTCAGTCTCCCCCACAGCATTCGTCTTCCAGGACGGCGAATGGGTGTGAAGTCTTTACGACATCTGTAGGCGGTTTTGTCAAAGTCTTCTTAAGACCCCCATCCTTTACGACATTCCAAGATGACAAATTTCTACTGCTGCACTCCTTATTTGCTGCTCTGCACTCCTGATTTGCTTCTTGATGCATTACTGACATGTAATGCGATATGTATCATTCAACCCACCATGTGGTCTCGTGAAATATTTATGCCAGATCTATAATGAATAATCTTTACAACAACCTAGTTTGTTACAACACAATAACTTACCCTTTGGCACAAAGTAGATGAAGATAGTGTTAGTGTTATCAGGTGTAGTTGCTTCCTTTTTTTTTTTTTTTAATCTTTACAACAACCTAGAGATATATACAAGAGTTGTTACATTCTTGTAGAGCCACTAGTACGCGTAGCGTTTCAGGCATGTCCCTGGAATACGATCCCCTGCCGCGAAGAATCGTTTTTTCATCCAAGTACACATTTTACTGTTGCGTTAAACAGAGGCTACAGTTAAGGAATTGCGCCCAGTAAATCCTCCCCGGCCAGGATACGAACCCATGACATAGCGCTCGCGGAACGCCAGGCGAGTGTCTTACCACTACACCACGGAGACTGTTCCTTTACAGCACGTCTCTGCCATTTAGCTCTTATGGACTAATAAATGTATTTGTTTTTGAAAAGCATGCAAAAAGAACCTTGTTGCATGCTTCAGTTAATTATTTACCTGATATACCTGTCAATTTACCTCGACGAGGACAGGAAGCTGGCAGCTTATCACAGGTCCCTCCCATTTGTTTTGATCTTTTCCAGTTGAACTATAAAATTTAAGTGTTTTGGCTTCGACGGTAGGCGGTTCCACGGGTTATAACCCTGTGGGTGAAAAAGCATTGTTTTATCAATTCTAATATTCTACTATATATTTCATGTACCTATAATTTTCTTGCCAGTCTTTCATGTGGTACCTTATCATAGACTTTAGCAAAATCCATATATACTACATCCACTGGAAGTCCTTTGAGTAGCTGGTTAGTGTTTCTATCCCCCGATCATTATCTCATGTGTTACACTGCTTTGACAACTGGATTGAGCCCTCAGACAATCCCATGTCAGCTGACAAGGGATTTGGTTCTTTCCGAGCTTACCGGTTACTGTTCCTGATTAACGGGTGGACGACCCAGTTGAATCCATCTTGGGTTCAAACCTAATTGGGTCTTGTTTGAGATTCCCTGGCAAGTCTCTCCTCCTGCCTGCTAAGACTGCGCTGCTTGCAGCGGTGTTGTCATATGGTGTTGAATTGACACCAGTTGTTTGGGACCCTGAACTTTTTCTACGTGATGTTTACCCTGGGCAGGGTTTGGCTTAGTGCTGTCCTGGTTCCTTTTTTCTGCCAGGTTCACCACTGCTGGGACTATTGGGTTTGGACCTCACTTGCCTTTTGTTTGCTTTTGCATCACCAGCTTCCTTTCCAGACTTTGGTACTGTGGTGCCATCCTCTCATATCACTTGTGTTCATGGATGCCCCATCACTGGGTTGTGGCTTCATGACCAGTACTCACGATGTCTTCTAGAGTCAGTGGTCGGGTCCATTCCATTACGGGCACAGCATGGTGCACAAAGTTTGTGGTTGTGTGGTAGGCCCTTCGTAGGATTTGTCTTCTTTGGGCTCCATCCTTCAGCCCAATTCCGACTGCTCCCCAGAGGTTCATTTCCTGAACATTGGTGTTTCACTTCGGTCCTTTCCCCTTTGGAGCCAGACTATTCATTCTCGAGGTTTGGTTCTCTGCATGAAACGCATGGGGGTGTCTAGTATTCTTGCAATCGGGTTATCATGTTTCAGTCCCATTTTCACAGAGTGGACCATTGACGTGTCTTCTTGTTGGTTTTGCAAGACATTTGGTTGCCATGAGGTAGAACTCTTTGCTTTGGCTTGAAACCATTGACTCCAGTCTGTTCCTATGTAGCATCATTGCTCAATCGTGAGGCTTTCACGGTGGATCCCTTTCAGCCAGACTGGTAGAGATGGAGGTTCATCTATTGCTTCCCTAGTTTAGATGTTGCTCTGGGTGCTGTCCAAACTGGAGTTGTACTTGGGCAAGATGGTCCTTCTGGCTCTTTGGTGGCTGGCTTAGCCTTGGTTATTGCTTTTCTGACCAAGCCATTTTGTAGCATGCTGTTGCACCTGTTAAGCATTTGAGGGTTTCCGAATAAGGGCAGATTTTAGCTCGGAGTGTAGCTTGGCCTATGCAAGAGTGAAGGCAGTTGAGCTGTCTTGTCATGCCGGGGGATATCAAAGTTGCATTTCCAATCACTTCCCTACTCCATTCCTTCTACTTGGGAGGATGCCTTTCAATCTGTGGCTCGGCCCCGGGGCCTTAATGGTTGTCTTCCATGGGTGGGGGGTCCTTGGGGTGCCCTTTGACCGTATTTAGACTTTGGTGCCCTTTGACCCTATTTAGACTTTGGTGCCCCCTGTGAGGGGGGCTTTTGCCTCTGTGGAATAATTTTTTGTATCCCCCCCTCTGTGTATGAATTTTATTACTCTGCTGCTCTGCCCCCCCCCCCCAAGATTAGTTTCAGATTGCCTAGGGAGCCGGTCGGCCGAGCGGACAGCACGCTGGACTTGTGATCCTGTGGTCCTGGGTTCGATCCCGGGCGCCGGCGAGAAACAATGGGCAGAGTTTCTTTCACCCTATGCCCCTGTTACCTAGCAGTAAAATAGGTACCTGGGTGTTAGTCAGCTGTCACGGGCTGCTTCCTGGGGGTGGAGGCCTGGTCGAGGACCAGGCCACGGGGACACTAAAAAAAGCCCCGAAATCATCTCAAGATAACCTCAAGAAGATGGCTCTTTAAATTTCATTCTGGAGGTTTCTATCTTTCTGAGTTTCACTCTGAGGCTCATATGGATACTTTTTGGTGCCTCCTGCAGGATTTGAGCCTTGCTTCCTTGATGGACCTGGTCTCTTGAGTTTGGGTTTGCCTTCCCTCTCTGGCTATGATACGAGGTGCTGGATTTATCCTGACTGGCTGACAATCCTCATTTTTTTTCCCCCTTGGGGCTTGGCAGGCGTTTTGTAATACTCATTCACTTGATTGGTGTGAGGTAATGTCTTTCAGGTGTTTTTTGGCCAGCTCTCCTTATTTGGCACCTGATGACTGCCACCTGATGATTGCTCTGGCTATGTATGTGGGCAGGAGACTACACATGCAGCTGCCTGTATTTTCTAGAGCCCATATTGCTGATGAAAACGGGGGCTCATACTTGGTTTTGTGCTTTTGGGCTTTCCAGGAACTTTTTGCTCATTGGCTACAGGAGGATGTGAACTAGCTTGACTTGTCAGGTCTGGAGGCCTTGTTGCCTCTGGTATCAGCTTCAGCAGGTTTGTATAGGATGTCTGCATCGTCCTTCATGAGTCTGTGGCAGCGTTTTACTCAGCATGTTGGCAGGCTGTGCTGGCCAAGTCTAGATTTGGTTTGGTCCTTAGCCATTTTGTCCACCTCCCTCATTTTGCCATTCCTCTTTCCTGAGGATGTTGTTCAGTTCCTTTCTACGGCTGGTTCATCATGCAGGCCTATAAGTTATTTGCTGGTTTCTTGGGGGTGTCTGTTCCTCATTTTCCAGAGGCAGCCATGTAGGGCTTGGGCCATGCCTGCTGTTGGTAAAGGTAGGTTCCTGATGGAGCCAGATTATCGGGCCATTGTGCTTCCTTCGGCAGGTCCCTTCCAGACTGGAGTCGTTCTCAGGAAGGGTGATCCTTCAGGCTGCTTGAAGGCCGGTTCAGCTTTGTTTTCCGACACCAATATCTTCAGTACCTGCACCAAATCTCTGGTAGAAAACTAAACACTTGCATTTAGCAACTTTTGTAGTCCATGTGCTGTATATATAGTAAAAATGTCTACTGCATGAATAGTGCTGCTGCAATAAAATTGCTGAAATTTTGAACATTTCTCTAAGAACTGTTTTTCAAATTGCCGTTTCTATATGCATCTTTATTTAGGAAGGAAACGAGGTCGTCTTCAAAGACAGACAGCTGCTGCCCGAAGTATCAGGCAGAGACCACTGGTGATCAGTTTGGATGGTGCGAGCTCAAGTGATGAGGCCAGAAGCCCAAGTCCCTGTCCTACTGAGGTCACTTCTAAAACACAGATGCAGCTCACTTTGAGGTATATGATTTCAATGCTCCAATCAAATAATTTTTTAAAACCTGCCACATAAACATTCAGAATCCTGTGCATGCACCTGGAGATGTATTCTGATTTGTGTTTATATTTACCACCATATTAATACCTTTATTATTCTCTTTCATCCACAGTATTTGTTTACATCAATCATTCTACCCGCTTACTTTCTGCCTTTCTAGAGACTGTAAATTAATAATAATATAATTATTATTATTATAATTTTATTATGATTATTATTATAATTATTATTATTACTGTATTATTATAATTATTATTTATTATACTGTATTATAATTATTATTACTGTATTAATATTGTTATACAGTAATTATTATTATTATTATTATATTATAAATATTATTATACAGTTATTATTGTGATAATATAATATTAATATAATAATAATATATGCCACAGCAGCAGCAACATATGGCAGGGGACTCCAGTGTTGACCTTGGATGTTTGTATGATTATTTCTTCAGTTTTTATTTTTTTTACTAGTATTTGTGTAATTTAACTACATTAATGCTTATGTATTTTTATTTTTATTTATAGAAGTATTTGTGAGAGTACATAATATCGATGTTCTTACATTGTTGCAAAGCCACTAACAGTGTAAAACGGGACGGGTATTAACTCTACTCTGTACTTTACCCTGTCCATGAATATGCTTACTTAACACTTTCGCGCTATCTGGACGCGCCGGCGCGTTCGGTTTCGTCTAATGTAAACGCATAGTGGACATAACGTTATGTCTACTTTTAAAATATTTGTATAAAATTCAATTTTTATCCGATTTACTTTGGGTTTGTTTCAAACTGCGCGCTATGAGGCTCTCTTTCTCACCACTAGGCTGCATAGTACAATAAGTTCATGAAAGGTGTGGATAACTTCGATCAAATGGTATTTTGTCCCAAACGGGTTGCAGGTGGGTGACTTTAGCCGTTTATACTGGTAATTCTTCCCCCATATCATATATTATATGCATATGTCTGTTTAGGGAATTTTATTCCGATCAATATACAACCAAAAATAACTGTGTGCAACAAGTATAATCTTGACAAACATAACAAAAGTAAAAATATTTCGTGTGTGTTTGACGCTCACTGATATGTTCCAGCGTTGTTTTATATTTGTCGCTATTCTAACTTACGCTTTGTTGATATTTTTTACCTATGGGTACATAGAACATTCTATTGCGAACACATTGACATAAAAATGAATGACGTACATAGAAAATTAATGTCATGAGAGTGAAATAAGTATAAACTTTCAAAGCGCCGTGCGTCGTCCCGTCACCGATACCGGGTAACAATTTCACCACTTCCCACACTCTTGCAGGCGGGCTGCATCATTATTCTACGCTTATATTCATATCACCGTGTTGGGAATTTCATTGCGAGTCCATTGATACCAAAATTAACGCTGTAGAACAAGTGTGGAGGTGATTACAATCCCAAGAGTAAAAACATTTTGTTGCTGATGGGCGCTCACGGCGAGTCATCTACGTAGTTATTTATTTGGTGCTGGTATCCCTATATGTTTCGTGACTTATTTTACTAATGTTCTTCTAGAGAATTTTATTGCGAACACGTTGGTACCAAAATGAAATACGTAGCATGAGAACTAAGGTCAGAAGAGTAAAAAGAGTATACACATTTTTGTTTTTACGCTTAAGCGATAAAAACGCAGCGCGCACATTCGGTTGGCTGAGTGACCTTTGCGGAGAGCGCGAAAGTGTTAAACTCAATTCCAAGGTACCCCAGAGCTAACTCTTAGCCAAGTCCCACGCCATGTGGTCTTAGCCACTCGATCGGCTAAGATTCTACAGCCACATGACGTCGTACTAGGTTTTCTAGCAAACTCAAGGATCTCTTTACACCGCTGCCACCAGACCATTAACCAAAAGCTATCAATTAAACAGGGTCTGGACCAATTAATCAATCATTTAACCCTTGTGGCTTAATCCCCAAATTACTTGCAAAAGGGGGATGAATTTACGTTAAGTGTGGGAATTACTCAAAACAAAGGGATATATTAATCATTGGCATGAGGAGCCGGCAGCTGTTTTGTTAACTTTGTTTAAACTTTCTATGAACATTGAAGTTGTGTGTTTTGCTTCAATTCCTTCTAGGGGGTTGCTTCTTCAGTGAGGGGTGATCATAGATCTCCAACTCAATGCATCTCTGTGAGAGGGGGGCCCAGGTTTTGGTCTCTGGTCTCCAGTAGGCTGTTAAGGACTTCTAGGGCTGATATGCTTATATGTGTGGAGCTATCTCAGAGAGGCTAGCTACAGGGAGTCATCATTTGGCCCCTCCAGAAAGCAGTCTGTGTCAAGTCCCTCTCATGCAAAATTGTAGTTTTGAATGCATATGAGTATTTATTCCATTAGGTAAATCAACATGGTAATTCTGTTCCATTTCAAATAATCATTTGTCTTGTATTTTATATTTGTTCTCTAATACTATATTTCTGTCAAACAGCCCAAATGTGTTTGGACGTGGCATCATGTCTGACTCCGATTCTGACTGTCTTGAGGTAGAGTCTATGAGGGCATCACCTAAGACCAAGGAGGTGAATTGTGCAGATGACGATGAATTGTTTTGCAGCGACTCTGTTGTCGATTTGTATGATGTGGATTATAAATGTAAGCTCAATAAATTATTTAGATAGCCTCATTTAAAAACATGCATTCATAATCTAAAAAAAAAGTATTAAATACTTTTAATGCAGATTTCCTTAAAATCACAATCAGTATTAGAAGTGAACCATTGTATTTTTAAGGTTACATGTAACCATTGCAAATCGGAAACCTAATTTATGAATATTTGTAGGAAACAAAATTGAACTGCACAGATGATGCAGGGAATAGTTATGTAGATATATATAGTACAGTGTACTTCATTAGAATGCAGTATGAGAATTAAACCACACATCAGAAGATGAGATAACAGCATTTTGGTCCGTCCTGGACCATTATAAAGTCGATTGTGATAATTGACTTGATAATGGTCCAGGACGGACCGAAAGTCGTCGTCGTCTCATCTTCTAGTGTGTGGTTTAGTTCTCATATCTTGAAGCCACATTATTGTGACTCTTTGTCTGCACGTAGAATGCGATGTTTTCATTGGTATACCCAGCTTTCCTAGCCCCTGGAGTTCTTCCTGCCCCAAGCAGGCCCAGGCAAGACCTGAGCCCTCCATCCCCCACTCCACCTCCCCCCAAACCCCTGTCAACTACACTGCAGGAGGGCGTGCCCTCTCCCCAAGCACTCCCTGCCCCCTCACCCCCAGGACTTCTTCCTGCCCCAAGCAGGCCTGAGCAAGACTTAAGCCCTCCATCCCCCACTACACCTTCCCCTGAACCCCTGGCAACTACCTCACAGGAGGATGAGCCTGCCCAAGTAGCAATGACCATGGAACAACTTCCTACACTTGTGGGGAGTGAGGGTGAAATTGGATATAAGAAAGTGAGCTTCAAGGTAATGTACTCAAACATTGATGGGATTACCAATAAAGCAAGTGAACTGGCAGAAAGGGCGCAAGAGGAAAACCCTGATGTAATAGGACTCACGGAAACAAAATTGTCAGGAGTCATAACAGATGCTGTGTTTCCAAAGTACTACTATATAGTAAGGAAATAGAGGGAAGGGAGAGGAGGTGGAGTGGCCCTGCTGATAAGGAAGGACTGGAGTTTAGATGAGATGGAAATTCCGGACTATGACGGATTCAGAGATTACATAACAGGAACTATAACAATGGGTGGACCCAAGATAATAGTGGCAGTCATTTACAACCCTCCCCTAAATGACACAAGACCTAGACAGGAGTTTGATAGGAACAACATGGCAACCATTAATATAATAGAGAGAGCAGCTTCATTTGCCTGCAGGAATGGTTCAAGACTTTTAATCATGGGCAATTTCAACCATGGAAAGATAGACTGGGAAAATGGGGACCCACAACTTTCACGCTCATCTCCTTCTGTGTTCTGTCATGTGCTTTTTGGGCCTCCTTGAGCTGCATTCCAACTGGCTCACTGAGGATGTCTTGGCCTCTGCGGGGGCGGCTGTGCTTCCCAAGCTGTACTCGGGTATACACTATTCTCATGTGGGGGTGGCCAGTTTCCTCGCCACCCAGCTTGTGTATTGACAGGCTGTGTTGGCCCAGTCTCTGGATTTAGTTTGGACCCTTGCTGTCCTCTCCTCCTCTCCCTTTTCTCTGCTCCTTTTCCCAGAGGTGGTTGTCGACCTATTATTGTCTGTAGCAACTACTTGTTGACACCTTTCGGACCTCTTGTGACCTTAGTGGGTGTTGTCAGTCTTCAAGGCAGTTTGGAAGGGCTGGGACAGCACCCATTGTTGGTTGGGGTAGGCCATCTGCAGAATCATGAGCTGGGTTGCAAGCACTTTCCTTGGACGGTACTTCTTCATCTGGTCAGTGCCATACCTACTCCTTTCAGAAGGTTCATACCAACCCTTTTGCAATTTGCCAATATGATGGAGCAGTGTGGTGGGGGGGTAGCTATCTTGGATTGCCTATGCTGAGTCCCATGATTCATGGGCTTTTCCGGTTGTTTTCTTAGGCCTGTGGTAGTGTTTGTCAGTCCTTCCTCCTTTGGAGGGGTTTGGGTCTTTGTGGGCAGGACTGGGGGGACTGGTCTTTTTTTTTTTTTTTTTTTTTTTTTTTCCCTCACCTTTGTCAGGTTGTCTTGGAGTGGGGGGGGTGTCTTTGGGAATGGTTGAAATGACAGTTTCTTCAATGGGTCTAGTTCCAAAATGGGATTTGCCAGACTTCCAGTTCATCCTCGATCTTTCCAGATTAAATCGGTTCATTTCTTGCCCCTCCTTTCAGATGTCCATGTTATCAGAGGTCCATCGCATGCTCCAGGCAGGGGTTTGAATGATTTTCCTGGACCTCCGGGATGCGTATTGGCACATCTGTGTTCATCTGGGGTTCAGGGACTGATTAGGCTTCGATGTGGGGTAGCAGGCTTAGGACTTTTGGATTCTCCAATTCGGACTTAGTCTGGCTCCATGCATGCTTAAATGCTTGGCTCAGGTTGTGGTGGCTCGTCTCCCTTCCCCAAATATTTTATATGCCATTCTGAATTTTGAGTTATACATATGGTTGGTTTGAAGAAGGTCTTTGGTATGATAGAGCAATCTTTGTACATAATTGAAAGATTTTTATAAATGAGTTTGTCTTTTTAGTGTTATGTAATGTCTTAAGTTAGATTACTGTTCAGTACAATTAATGAATTAGAAAAACATAATGAATGGATGTAACTTTATTTAAGTCTTTTGTTTCAGCATACCGTATGCAGGTAATGAAAACGGCTGCCAAAGAGATCAGTGCTCTGAAAAAAAGTAACATCTTGGATTCCAATGAACAACCAGATGAGTGTGAAGATCCTTCTCAGTTTCACAATGAGCAAGATGATGATGTTTGTTTGGTGGAGGAAGTAAAGTAAGTTTTACAAATTTTAAATTTCCATCTTTTGTCTACTATGAATTTGCAAATTCTCCTTTTTAGCTTTTCCCTCATTTCTCTCAATCTATTTCTATTTTTCTGGCACTCGTATCCATTTTTCAAGTTTTGACTTCTGTCGTCTTCCCCTGTTAACACTCCTTTAATTAGTTATGTTGCTTGTGGATATAAAAAATGCTCTCCAACAATTGTACTTAATTGTGTTCTATTAATGTACCAACATGCCTTGCTTTTTCCATTGAGCTCAATATATACAGTATTAATTATATGATTACAGGTTTTGGTACCTGTTAAGATCATAATAATAATATGCAGACGGTGTGGATAAATGTTTATTTCTACGGCAACACAATTGATGAAAAAATTTTTGTTTTCTTGGAAGGCCCCGTGGTGGCTGTTGCTAGCCACTTTGGTTAGCTCCTCACATATCCATTCACATCAGACCCTTGCAAGTTAGTAAGAGTATCGGGGATCAGCGGTCAAAACCTGGCCCTGCTCACAGGCACAGACAGCAGGGAATCTGTGATCACCCTGGGTGATCACAAGGGATCAAGGGTGCTGGTCGGCCGAGCGGACAGCACGCAGGACTTGTGATCCTGTGGTCCTGGGTTCGATCCCAGGCGCCGGCGAGAAACAATGGGCAGCGTTTCTTTTACCCTATGCCCCTGTTACCTAGCAGTAAAATAGGTACCTGGGTGTTAGTCAGCTGTCACGGGCTGCTTCCTGGGGGTGGAGGCCTGGTCGAGGACCGGGCCGCGGGGACACTAAAAGCCCCGAAATCATCTCAAGATAACCTCAAGATAACCCTGACAATGATAGCAGTCACCCAAAAAGGTAGGATGAGACAAAACAGACAACAGCAAGTTTACTACCTGGCAAATGACCCACCAAGTAGTTAGATGGTTCACCCTCACGCATTTCTTTATCTTGGGTGCTATCACACCCATGGGGTGTTGAAATCCATTTTGGGGGTGCTGGAAATGTTGTACAAATGAAAAATGAAAATTGTAAAAAATAAAATAATTGCTTTATTTTATATAAGAGAAAATGAAGCAACACTTAACTACTATGATGGAAACTACAAAATTTGTGAACATTTAATTTCGGTTATGTTTGGTAAGAAGTCTGTGACACCGTGATTTGTGGACCCATTCTATATCTGTACTGTACCACAGGTACAGTACAGTACAGATCCGTTTATACCGACAACCAGAGCGCAACTCCATAGTCTCCTGAGACTGATGGATGCCTACTACTACCACAGGTATTGAATGTTTGGCATGAGGCAGCACCACTACAGCCAGTAGTAGTATAGCAGCTCAACCATCTGCTTTTTTCTGCCTTCAAAGGTGGGAGATAGTACTCGCCTAGTTGTGATTGTGGGGTTTAAGCCCACAATCTTAAGCTCTTTGGTCCTGCCTCTAGACTGGTGTATGGGGTTCCTGAGCCTATGTGGCTCTATCTTATCTGCATTTGAAACTGTGTTTGGAGTCTTTCTCCATCACATTACTTCCTATTGCATTACCCTGACATTGAACAAATTCTTTCTAATGTCTGTGGTTCATTTGAGTACTAAGTTTCCACCTATGCCCTCTTGTTTGTGTTCTGCCCATGCTAAATAGATTTTTTGTCCACCCCTGTCAATTGCTCTTAAGAATTTTGTGTGATGATAATGTCTTTCATCACTCTTGTCTTCCAGAGGTGTGAGGTTTAATTCCCAAAGCTCATAACTCATACCTCATGGCTGTGGTGGTATAGCAGGTAGTAGTCTGGTGGTATAGCAGGTAGTAGTCTGGTGGTACAGGTATACCTCTGAATATTCTTTGTCTTCTGTTTAGCTTGGTATGGCTGGCTACCTGGCTGGCTGGCTACTTGGATGACTACCTGGTTACATGCCTGACTAGATGATTGTTTCCTGCTTGGATGACTGGCTAGTTGGTTCAGAGCAAACACTATAATTAAAGTAAAAAATAAACTTAAAATACACTATTTTAAGTTTTGAGGTTTCCCGCCAAAAATGCACCACATAAATTCTAAAGCAACTTTACTTTTGATATAAATAACTTGGTATTCTTTTCATTGACTGTCCCTAAGAGAGCTGCTCATTGCCTAAAAAAGCAACTGAATGCCCTGCTCAGGTAAGACCTTTTCTTGTACTCTCAAAGCCTTATTATTCAGTGCCAGTAACCTTATTTTAACAATGTTGTAAATATTATTTTATCAGTTAACCAGTCTCACTACTTAATTGGTTTTCTCTCCACATATACTAAGATGATCTATGATGTAATTCTTATGTTCTGCTTCAAAAAAAAATCCAAATTCCCATCATTTGCAATTATTTATAGCAATATTTTATAATCTTTTACCTCAACAGTTTATTTCAGCCATTCATATCTTGCTATCTGCCCTCTACCATGCTCCAATTACAAAACTAATTCATTATTGTCACCCTTACATTTTCTTGCATAGTATTCAACTTCAGATTTTCTTTAATTTGTATAATTTTATCTCGAGTCATATTTGTATTTTAAATATTATTCCCTTATGTTCTGTAAGATTAGTAAAATGTTCAAAATTTTACAGAGAAGAGAATACAATTCTAGAAGCTCCTGTATCACCCACTTTACTAGATCTCAAGGTGCCTAAAAAAAGTAAAATAAAGAAGAATAGGAATACCAAGAAAGCTCTTAATTGTTTGAAAGCATTATCCAAAGAATATGAAAAGGAAAAATTGGTAAGTGTTCTTAACAGTTTTAGAGTTAACAAATTATTTGCCAAATTCCATGATTTCACAAGTAAATAAGTAAATATGTAAATATTTAATATTTGTAGCACATTTGCTTATGGCCACACCTAGCTTAAAAGCTCCTACAGTATTAAGTTTATATGAACAAGTTTATTAACTTGTACAGTACTATGTTTATGCCTGTAAGCTGAAAACTTCTTACTAATTTAACACCTGTTTGCTTATGAATTCATATTTAGTTAATGCATTCATTGATTCATTGCAGGCTTAAATACATTATCCTTACAGTTAGTAATGTTTACAGTCCATATTTTTGTAAATTACATGTACATTATTACATATATATCTACTTACTCAACACAAAAGTGAAGAAACTGGAGTAGAAACATTCAAGGTCAACTTTACACTCCTCTGCCACACACTGCTGCATCAGCAAACCTTTGGTCTGGCATTGACTTGGGTTGCTACCCAGTCAACTTCTACAGCTCGCCAAACCATTAGAGATGTAGATATTTGTTATTTCCATGTTTCCTTATATGTTACATCCAAATTAATCATTCTGTAAGGAATAAATATTTTGGGTTTTTTTTTTTTTGAGCAGTACATGCATTATTTCCTTAGCATACATACAGTATATGTATTTAATGTATAAATGCATTATTTCCTTAGCCACACTTTAGGAGTTAAGGCATTGTTTTTGTTGGTCTTTCCTCTGGCTGTCAGGTTGAGGATCTTCAAGCTCTCCTCTCAGAGGCGTGGGTTCTGTTTGTTCAGCCATGGTGGGCAGTTTCTCTGTTTGCAAGCTAAAACAAGCAAACGTCACTAGTGCCGTTGTGCTGATCACCCATGCAGCCACCACCCCACCCCCCCACCCACCTAAAAAAAAAAAAGTTGCTATAGCTGGCAGTTCCTCAATTGATGTTGACTGTGGCGGTCGTTGAATCGGGCCTCTAATCTTAGCGGTTCTATGCCTTGTGTATTTCTGCAGTGTGTGGTGCACAAGCTAGGAGTACTTCATCAGTACTGGGGCTGCATGCGCTTAGGGCTGACTTCCGTAAGCGCCCTGTAAATACTGCCCTTGCATCTTGGGGTTATCTTCCACAAGGTGTTTGGAAACCGCTTCCTTAGGGGTCTTTTGCTCCTCGGCAATTGCCCACCCTTGGGGTCAGCTGGGGTGGTTGTGTCCCTCGTTTGACCTTGGGTAGGGATTGGTATCGTTGTTGGTAGTCACAAGGTATTGTGCAGCTTGGGGGGGGGGGGGTGCCTGCCCGGAACGGTCTGATCACCAGGCCTGCCAGGAATGGTGGGCTCTGTCCTTCCGTCGAGCTCACAGCTCAGTGCGGGAGTTTGCGGTTGTTTGGCTGTGGCTTCAGAAGGTGCGGGTTACTCGGGGTTTGATGATTAGGCTCCATTCGAGCTGTACTCCGGTGGTTCATTGCATGATCTGCGGGGGTTCTCTTCGGTCCTTGGCTCTTTGTGGCTGGTCTCTTAGTGACTTGTCTACTGGATTCTCGGGGTTTGACTCTTGTGTGGTTCGTGTCTGGGGGGTATCCAACATCCTGGTGGACAGCCTCTCTCGGTTTATTCCCCTGTCCATGGAATGGACAGTCGACGCCGGCTCGTTCAGTTGGCTCTGCCGAACGTATGGGCTCCCGGATGTGGACCTCTTCGCATCGGCATGATTCCAATTCCAGCGTCTTTGTGTGTATGTGACACCATTCCCAGACTGTGAGGCTGTTGTGGTGGATGCTTTTTAGCAGGACTGGTTGAGGTGGGGGTTACCTGTACCTTTTCCGCCCGGTCCAGCTGTTACTTAGAGTCCTGGTTCATTTGGAGGCATACCAGGGGAGAGTAGTCCTGTTAGCCCCTTGGTGGCTGGCTCAACCTTGGTTTCAGGCACTGCTTGCTCAGTGTCCGAACCCCGCAAAGTTTTCTGCAGCTCCACCTCTTCCAGTTGGTCAGACCGGTCCGGTATGTGGCTGGTTCGATCTTCGCCTCCGATTTTTGCATCTGGTCTTTCTGATGCAGGTCTATCACCACTTGCACGGTGCTCAGGTGGCTTCGTTGATGGTGTCCCACCTGAGAACTTCGTCTCGGTGACAGTATGAAGTTTCCTGGCGTTCTTTTTCTGCCATTTTTTCTCCCTTCGTAGGTTGTCCTCTATTTCGGATCGGGTTGTTTTATCCTTTCTCTCTTGGCTTTTTCAGGACCGTCTTTTGATGCTGAATACTGTCGCCTTGTCTTGTGCAGCGCTGGCAGAGCCTCTTTTGCTTGTGTTCTGGGTAGATATTCTGCTCCGTTCTGTAAGCTTTCTCATACGTTGTTTCACCTCGGGCCTGCTCATACGCCGCCTGAGCCGTCCCGGTCTTTGGACAGGATGCTCTTTATTCTCTCCTCAGTTTGTGTTGGTCCCTTTGGTCCAGGATTGATTTTCTCAGGCTCTCTTTCCCGTTGGCATTGGCCTCTGGTGGTCGGTTGGGGAGCTTCATGCTCTCCTCTGGTGCAGAAGTTTCTGCTCTTTTGGTCCTGGTGGTAGGTTTGTTTATTTGCAGTAGTCTTCTTCTTTTCTGACAAAGAATGAGTTGACGGCATTCCAGAGGCGTCCTTTGGTCGTTGATGCTTGGTTGGTCAGGCCGAGGGAGGGGGGCATCATGTGTCGTCTGGTTGCGGCTCTTCGCTATTATCTACATGCCACGGCTTCTGTGGCCGGAGATGCACTTTGGGTTAACCCACTCTCTTTTGTTCCCTGTTCCAGGGCTCGGGTCTCCCAGGTTGTCCGCAGGATTATTTGGTCCAGTCAGCCTGCGGTTTATCCTCATGCCCATGACGTTCATGAGCTTGCTGCTTTAGCTGCCTTATTCGGTAATATGTCATGGGCTGACATGCGGGCACAGGGATTTTGGAAGTTGAATGGGGGATCCTGGCCCTTGTAGGGCGTGTCTTGCTTTAGTTCTCAGGTTACAGCCAGGTGTCTCGAGGCGATGAGTCACAATAACGTGGCTGAATTATGTTGACCAGACCACACACTAGAAGTTGAAGGGACGACGACGTTTCGGTCCGTCCTGGACCATTCTCAAGTCGATTGACTTGAGAATGGTCCAGGACGGACCGAAACGTCGTCGTCCCTTCAACTTCTAGTGTGTGGTCTGGTCAACAGTTGTCTCGACTCTGAAATGAGATGCGAGTGGCGGCCATCTCCTGGGTAAGTCCCTCTTGTCACTTTCCTTTCGTTAGGTAGCTCCGTAGGGGCTCCCCACAGAAAACCAGCGTTGAAGGTAATGCCATTTTCTGGGTGAGCCCTGGAGGCTTCCCAGCACCCTTCCTCCCTCCAGTTGGCGTTTTTTTCGTGTTCTTGTGATGCTCGGCCTCAGAACTGACAGCTAGAGCAGCCGGTTTAGGGGGCTCAGGCCTTCCCCTCCCAGGGAGGGCTGCACAGACGATTGGCGTGATGGAGTTAATGACGTTTGCTTGTTTTAGTTTGGGACTTCTGCCTCCCTGTACAGCTTTTGGGTAACAATTTTTACCAAGTGGGTTTGTTTGGTTACGCCTACCTTTCTGGGTGACAAACCCTGGTCAATGGCAGACATGGAATGCTTCCAGAAACGTGGGGGTTTCCATAGGCCATTGCTCCTCGTGCCTCTCTGAGGGGGGGCTGAGGTTCTGGCTCGTGGTCTATGGTAGGCAAGGACCCCATTGACTGATGCTATGGTCTAATACACACACACCGGTCCGGTAAGCTCCGAGGGCCTCCGGGGCTCACCCAGAAAATGGCATTTCATTACATTCAATGCTGGCTTTTTAGAATGAGAAATTTTCTTAGCCTAGTACAGTACATTATTTTAAATTTGTTTCTTCTTCTTCAGATAGAAGACAGCATAAACTTGAGCATTACAACACTTTTGGGTGAAGATGATGATAATCCTGAGATTACCCTACGAGTAAAGTGGGGATCAGATTATCTTCGCATGCCTTTGAAAGTTGTAAGTTCTATACTTTTTATAATGTTTAAAGTGTAATGTTTATATGTAAAGGGCTGCTCAAATTCCCTCATCTGAGGCTAGTGAAAATCAAAGCCAGTGAGCACAAAATTGATACTGACCTTGTTCTTTTTCTTTGAATTCTCTTAATTATGTTCTGTATCAGTAAAATATTAAATTTAAGCTAACACATAAGCTCAGCTTGTGTGTGCATTCTCTCAGAACCCAAAGTGAAACTCTATCAGGGCCAACTGCTTTGCTGCTTCCTAGTTCCTAGTCATTTTTCTACTTCATCTCGAGACACCAATATGTACTCTCTAACCTCACTGATCCGAACGATATAGGGATGGCCCCCACCCCCTTCCTGTGCCAGATAAGCCAGACATTTGGATTGGCAGAATTTTTACAGGTAAGTCCAAAAATTACCATATTCAAAATTTGTTGTACCACAACCACGATAATTATTATTTCCACACTATAAATAAAAAATATAATTTAAGAGAAACTTCAGCTTGCCTTGTAGTAGTTTGTCTTCTTGTGTGATACTGAACATCTTGAAAGGTGTAGATCTTGAAAATCTATGTAACCTAATCTCCGGTTATCCGAATTTCTGTTCGCATACGGGTAAGTTTGTCAGAAAATTATGCAGACCCAATTTTGATTGGATAACCATAATATTTCAGCCCATCTTCCTGTTTTGGCAGTGCTTGTACAGTGCTTGTGATGAGGACCACAGTACGTATACCGATGTACAATGTAATTAGAAAGTAGAAATCAGTACTATTGAATTTAGACAAACTGGAAAAGATTTTCTATTTCTGGCAAAGGTAAACTAAACTAACCTCAGTTAGGCACATGCAGCATGAGCTAACAGTACTGATGTTCAGCGTGACTACATCATTGCTTAAAAATCTCAAAATATATATGAATCTGGTATTATTTAGTCATGATAGTATTACAGAAGAGCCTGACTGTGATAGACTGTACAATGTTCAGATATTGGTGAATCAATGCTGTCTGAAAGTTTAAGACTGTTTGCTGTTTAAACCATAATTTATGGTTTTATGGTTATTTTATGGTTGTTCACAGCTTTAGCTACAGCACACTGCCATTATTTCGTCCATCTAAGTCATTTGAATCTTAAAATGACTTCTCATGATCCTTTACAAAATAAACTTGTGGAAAACAATAATTTACAGGATTTAGTGACCAGGATTCTGATAATAGCAGGATTATGGTGAGAATTAGCGATGTGAGTAGTATGGTGGGAGGAGTATTCTTGGTACGGGAGGGAGGGAGAGGTAGCTTTGTCTGCTGGCTGGTGTGTGGCAACATCATGTTGTCTGGAATCACCATACCAGCTTAGTGGTTCGCTATGGTGAACACAAATGTAGATACTTACATATAACATGTGTATATAGTGTAATAACAGCAAAAGGAGTATGTTGGGAAGAGCCATTTTGGTGAGGGAGGTAGCATCATCTGCTGGCTGGTGTGTGACTTGTCATGCAGTGTATGGTGGCCACTATGCTGTTTGGACACCATACCAGCTTAGTTGTATAGTTATGGTGAATAAAATGTGTAGATACTTGTATATAACGTGTGTAAATAGTGTGATACAAACATAACAGTATGGTGGGAGGATGAATGTGTGCGAGTGGGTGTTGAAGGAGGAAGGGAGGGAGGGCTGGTTGGGTGTGGCAGCCCACTCTTGTTTTTTGGACTTGCCAAACCAACTTAGTGGTTCGTTATGGTGAACACTTATGTAGATAGGTATATACAATGTATGTGTGTATATAGTGTAATAACAGCAAAAACACTGATTGATCATAGAATATAATATATATGTCACTGTATATATAATCTGACTTGGGCTGGACAGTAGAGCGATGGTCTCGCTTCGTGCAGGTCGGCGTTCAATCCCCAACCGTCCAAGTGGTTGGGCACCAATAAGTGGTAAGGCACATCTTTATACCCCAGGATGGCAAATCTTGCCTCGCAGGATTAATTCATTTCAATGACCAGACGACAAAAATTAGACAAGAAGTTGAAGGGTGGGTAGGCTGCTTGTTTTAACACTTTCTGCGGATGAGGACTCCTCCCGGCGTCCTGTTTCGCCTACCCGCTCCCGCATGGTGGACATAAATTTATGTCCTCTTTTAAAATATTTGTATAAAATTCAATTTTTATCCAATTTACCTTGGGTTTGTTTCAAACTGTGCGCCATGAGGCTATTTCTCACCACTAGGCTGCATGGTACAATAAGTTCATGAAAGGTTCACAAACATAACAAAAGTAAAAACATTTCGTGTGTGTTTGACTCTCACTGATATGTTCCAGCATTGTTTTATATTTGGCGCTATTCTATCTTACGCTTTGTTGATCTTTTTTACCTACGGGCTCATAGAACATTCTATTGCGAACACATTGACACAAAAATGAATGACGTACATAGAATAATAATGTCATGAGAGTGAAATAAGTATAAACTTTCAAAGCGCCGTGTGTCGTCCCGTCACCGATACCGGGTAACAATTTCACCACTTCCCACACTCTTGCGGGTGGGCCGCAATCATTATTCTACGCTTATATTCATATCACCGTGTTGGGAATTTCATTAAGAGTCCATTGATACCAAAATTAACGCTGTAGGACAAGTGTGGAGGTGATAACAATCCCAAGAGTAAAAACATTTTGTTGCTGTTGGGCGCTCACGGCGAGTCATCTTCGTAGTTATTTATTTGGTGCTGGTATCCCTATACGTTTCGTGACTTTTTTTACTGATGTTCTTCTAGATAATTTTATTGCGAACACGTTGGTACCAAAATGAAATACGTAGCTCGAGAACTAAGGTCAGGAGAGTAAAAAGAGTATACACATTTTTGTTTTTACGCTTACGCGGCAAAACGCCGTGAGCACATACCGCTTTTTTTTTTACCATCCAAATGGGGCGCGAAAGTGTTATTAACTTCAGAATTGCTTTTAAATATATGGGATGGCAAAATACTAAAGAAATTGTTCATTACTTTTGTTAGGCCACAGCCAAAATATGTAGAGGTTGTATGGTGCCCATATCTTGAGAAGCTCAACAAACTGGGAAAAGGTGCAAAGGCATGCTACTAAGTGGCTCCCAGAACTGAAGGGCAAGAGCTACAAGGAGAGGATAGGCATAAAATATGCCGAAAGTAGAGGATAGAAAAACAGGAGATATGATCACTGCGTACAAAATAGTAACAGGAATTGATAAAATTGATAGGGAAGATTTCCTGAGACCTGGAACTTCAAGAACAAGAGGTCATAGATTTAAACTAACTAAACAAAGATGCCAAAGAAATATAAGAAAATTCACTTTTGCAAACAGAGTGGAAGACAGTTGGAACAAGTGAGGTGAGAAGGTGGTGGAGGCCAAAACCGTCAGTAGTTTCAAAGCATTATATGACGAGTGCTGGGAAGATGGGACACCATGAGTGTACGTCTCATCCTGTAACTACACTTGGGTAATTACATATGAGCCCCATAATTTTGAGCATAGCTATGTTCCACACATTGAACTATATAAATTCCACACTTTTGAATATTACAGCAAAAAAAAACAGAGAAGAAATGAATGAGAAACATCAAAATAAGTGTGAAACATTATATGGGCGGCAACTGCCGCCCCACGGGGTGGCAGGGTCGAGTGACCCCGAGCGCTCCACCCCTTAGGGCCTATAATTTGCTCTAACTTCTGAATTCCATCATGGCTAAAGTATGTCACATACAATATTTTTTTTTTTTATAGTTTCCCATAATCAGAGATTGCATTTTAACAATACCAGTATAAGAGAATAATTTTTTGGATTATTTGCATGTGGGTCATAACCCACGTCATGACTACCAGATCAGTGCCATTACATTACAGCAGGTTGATGAAGAAAGGGACCTTGGAGTCAGAATCCACCACTCGCTAAAAGTTGTTCAACAGAAGTCGGAAGCAGCAGGCAGAAAAGCTAATAATAACAACCTTGGAATAATCAAGCATACCTTTGATTCAAAGGAAAAGAGGGTAGTGATTCAACTGTATAAATCTCAAGTGCACCCTCCCCTCCCCCCCATTTGGATTACTGTATCCAAGTATGGAGTTGTCATCTACAGGAGGACATAACTGCTCTGAAGAAAGTGCAACACCGGCAACAAAAATCATTCCAGAGCCAAGTCATCTTTCGTAGCGGGAACGGTTGAGGGCCACAGACCTAACACACTGCAAACCAGGCATGACAGGGCAGATCTCGTTGAAACTTTTAAAATACTGAACAAGTTGGATGATCCTGACAATTTCTTCCAAGGGTCAGTTGTAACACAAACAAGGAGCGATGGTTTCAAGCTCAATAAACCTCAATGTCAGAATACCTATACAATTATACCTCCTGAGAACAGGAGGTATAAAGATTATATCCCACAATATATAACCCACAGTTATAAACCCATGGAACCACCTACCTGCCGAAGCCACAAATGGCAAAAATGGTAAATTTTAAAATCCACCTGGAAAGGATCGTCGGGGCAAATGGGGGTACCATCGAGAAGCAGTTGGCTTCCTGTCCTCGTCGAGGCCACTAGCGCTAGTGGCCCTTATGTAAATCAGGTAAATCAGAAAACAATAAAATATAAACTAGTGTTTGGTCAATGTAATAATTTTACATATACACATTTTCTTAATTTTCAGTTGCAGAAATTTTCGCACCTGTACCAAGAACTTGCTGAGCGCTTTAGTGTGAGTGTCAGCCAGATAGTGTTAAGCTATAAAGATAAGGTGATCAGCTCTGAATTGTGCCCTAAAGACTTGGGCATCACAATAGCTGACATTATTGGTAAGTGAATACCATTCTCATAGACTTGTTTTTTGCATTTAATAAATATTTCTTTTTACTGTAGTTAATAAATATTTTTGCAGTTAATAAATGTAAATAATAAATGCAGAATAATCACGAAAAACACGTGACTCGATTATGATTAAGTGTCGAAAAGGAAACGAAAGTTCAGAACTTTTTTGTGTTTCAACACATTATCAAAGAAATACAGAAGGATGATGTAAGAGTGGCATTAAATACCCAACTATACTTGACCAGACAAAGAACCATAAGCTAAAACATTGCTTAATGCGGGCGAGATGATTACATGGATATTAACTGGGTATTCCTTCATTCATACACTATTTTTATACCAATCACAAATCTTACCGATTTAAAGTTTATCTAATTTGTATAATCCTGGACTGACATTGATATTATCTAATTCACTACTTTTTATAAATGATGATTCAATATTATTTCTTTCAGTAACCGAGTTACAATCCACAATTTTGCATGAATTATCCCATTCAATAGAATGGTTACACTCTCTTGAGTGAATAAATAATGTATTGGACTCTTGACCTGTTCTTGTACTATGATTTATGTTTTTATTCTCTAATCAAGATGTTTACCTATTTGACCAACATAGAACTTGTTACAATTTTTACATGGAATTTTATACACACATCCATTGCAACTACAGTGGTACCTTGGTGTACGAGTGCCCTAGAATACAAATTTTTTGGTATACGACATCACCAATTCATAAAATCTGAATTGGTGTACGACATTTTACTTGGAAGACGACGTCTGTTGATACTTGTATGGGTCGAGTGAGCGCAGGGTGAGGCACATTCAGTTGTTTACCAGTGTATCCCGCCTAGTGACGACCACACTTGAATTGTTTGTAAGAATTTAATTGTTTTTCTGCTTTTTTGTTTTCTGAACAATAAAAGTTTTATTATATATCATGCCATGGGTTCCAAGATGGATGGTGAGGGGACTGGATGGATGGATGGTGGGGGGAAACTGGATGGATGGATTGGGGTGGGGAAACTGGATGGATGGATTGGGGTGGGGTAGATGAATGGATGGAGGGACTGAATGGATGGATGGTGGGGGAACTGGATGGGTGGATTGGGGTGGTGTAGATTGATGGTCAGGACTAGATAAATGGATGGATGGATATTGAATTATCTGAACTATCGAACCCTCCCCTGGTGGATGAATGGATAGGGGGGTGGAGGGGAACTGAATGGATGGTTGGTGAAGGGGGACTGGATGAATGGATGGTGGACGGGGGACACTGGATAGATGGATGGTGGAGGGGGGACTGGATGGATGGTGGGGTGAATTTCCATCCCCCCCCCCCCCCCACACCGCACCATCCCTGCTACCTCCATCCCCCACACAGGATCCCTCTTTCCCCAGCCACATCTGGACGGAATTAATACGAAGGCTTCCTTGCTACTAGCTGGTGGATTGTTATATACTGACTGTGAAAGCCTGATAGACTGTAAAGTCCTGACTGACTGTAAATGCCTAACTGGTTGCTACCACAACAGTGAATGCTTGACTGCCTTTGGCTATGACTGCCTGTGACTGGGGTTTTGACTGTGAATGCTTGACTGACTTGTGACTGTAAGTGACTGGTTCTGACTGGCTGCCTCTTACGTGGCAGCCAGTCAGATTGTGACTCATCACCTACGTACATATATGTTTATATACACATACATACACACATAGAGACAAGTGTTAAAATGAAGGGAAAAATGTGTCTAGACAAATTCTTAGTAAGACAAGCAAGCAGTGAGCCACAAGCAGGTCCTAGTGGTATGCAGGCAAAACATGCCAAAGAGTGTACCCCAGAAAAGTCTTCGCTGCCTGATGTTATAATGGAAGGGGGACTCCCCTTCCAAACAGTAACACCTCTCCTCCTCCCCCCCCTCATAACCATCTTCCATACGCCATCAAGAGTCCTTCATAAAGGTAAGATAAACATACAGAATGTACTGAATTGTAATATAAAATGTATTTGTAAGTTAATATTTTGGAAGGTGGGGAATGGATTAATTCAATTCCCTTTATGTCTTGTGGGAAAAATTGCTTCGACTTGCGATACGTCTCTGGGAACGAATTACCATCGTAAATCGAGGCCCCCACTGTATATACAGTATATATATATGTATTTCGTACCTAGTTGCCAGAATGCACTTCTCGGCCTACTATGCAAGGCCCGGTTTGCCTAATAGGCAGTGATTTTCTTTATTTTCAAAAAATTCTTTCCAATTGGTTTATTTGAATTATTATATTGTATTAGGAACATACATTATTGACATAGTTATGTTAGTTTAGGTTAGGTTAAGATAGGTAGGGTTGGTTAGTTAGGTTGTCATATTTATATTAGTTTTAACTTAAATTAAAAAAATGAACTGATACATAGTGAAATGGATAGCTTTATCATTTCATAAAAAACAATTAGAAAAATATATAAATTCAGGAAAACTTGGCCTATTAGGCATATCGGGCCTTGCACACTAAGCAGAGTACTGCATTCTGGCTACTAGCTACAATGTGTGTGTGGGGGGGGGTGTGTAAGTGTATGTATGTATATATATAATATCTGTCATGCCTTACGCAGTTTAAGGATTGAGGACATCACCCTTATCCTTTTATGTAAAAGTAGAAATGCAAATAATTAATTATTGTTTTTCTTCAGAGGGTGGAATTCAGTCAAAAGCAAGTAGTGATAATACCCAGATGTTGGAAAACAATGGTCCAGATTCTGTTTGTCTTAAGATTCAGAATGCTGACAGAAAGGGAGCAATAAGTATTTTCATTAATCGCTATGACAAGATGATTGTGATGATGCACAGGTATGCTGACGAAAAAAATATTAACATTGATAAACTAAAGTTTTTGTTTGATGGTGAAATTTTGAATCCAAGTGACACTCCACAAAGTTTAGATCTGGATGGGGGTGAGTGTATTGATGTATATGAAAATTAGTGATGCTTCACAAAATCTAGATCCAGATAATTATTGAGATTTGTACAGTAAATTTGTTTTTATTTTGGTGACATAATCAAATTTTTTGGTCTCTGCTACAAGAAGTTAAGATAGTTGTCAATTTTTTTTTTTTTTTTATGCCCTGTGATTTAGAAGCTTAACTAAACAGTTCAGCCATCAACCATTTCCAATTCTGTGCATATTGAAACTAAAGTAATATCTAACAAGTTTTTTGAACAACTCAAAAAAGGTTTTGTTCATCCTGCACATAAAGCTGTTACCACAATAACATACTGAAAGACAAGACTGGCGCAGAGGAGTTTTAAGGGCTTACATGTATAAGCAGGATAATAAAAGAAATCTGGAAAATTAAAAATCAAAAGTAGATGGAAACTGAAATTATAAATGCATAACATTAACTGTAAAGGTAATGTAGTTTGCAAAGGATCAGTTAATCAAAAATGACGGTAACAAAAGGGATCCTAAAATGAATGACCTTGGTGGACCTATTTATATTTGTTCCAACTTTTTAATACTTGTCTTAAATTTGTATCGTCATCTATGTTGTTTACATAGTGAAACATGTTTACATATGTTTTTTTTTTTTCACTAAAAATTTAAATCCAGGCTTCATATTAACTCATTCACATATAATAAAACACATCCTTTCTCTTTTCTCTAGTCACTGTTATCAGGGCTGAAAGCAAAGCAAAAATAATTTCAATTTGTGGAAATTTACATGACTTGAATGTCCAAATCAACCATAACTTTCTTAAACTTAAGAACTCAGAGCAAGTATTGCAGGAAAGGTCACATTTTTCTTATCAGCCTATACTCTCTCTAATAGTGGATGTTTAGGGACAATTTTAATTTTTTTTTTTTTTTTTTTTTTTTGCAACATTGTAAAAGCTTCGATAGGTGATGCATTGCATCCAATTGTTTGTTTTTACTAGTGTGTGTTTCATTGCTCTGTTAAACAAGCTAATGCCCACATAGGTCACTTTGTTGGCACATGGATATTTGAGTAAGGTAGGAGTATAGAACATCATACAGAACAGAAGCACATTACAGTATCACCTTACTTAGTATACAAAGAAAATCAGATTAATATTCACATAATGTCTTCAGTACTATACAAAATACCAATAATCATTCATATATTCCCTTTGTATTAATATATACATAGTACTTAATATCTAGATCATAAGGTCAACATTGAGCCTCAATATTTTAAGATGAATTGTATAATTTTTTTCCAAAGAGGTCAGTGATAGCATGCAATGTCAGAGAAATAATACAGAAGTGTACTATAATTAGTACAATATTAATATAATATCAGACAATAGTCCATAAAGTGCAGTGGTCATCAGTTAGGTGATGGGATCTGCATGAATTATTACTCCTAATGAATGCCATTATTGTGGATATGAAGCAGTATTTTGTGCATCTTATTTGCTCCAATGAGCAATTGTTTCTGCCAGTTTGGTATTATTGAAGAGTTCATTTGTTAATTGTTAATTTCCTTTGTATTAGCAACATTAAATGAATGTGGACTTCCACATAATGTATATAGTAATCTTCAAAATTAGATGGCTATTCCTGGGTGTAAAAGTTGTGTAAATATCATACATACTTGTATAATAGCTGAATTTTTTCAGAATTATGTTTACAATATTGTACATTTTTAGTCCTTGATAACTAGTACAGTAACCAGACCCCTTGTATAAATACATATATTTTTGGTCTATGTTGTAGAGCATTTTGATAATTTAACACCTGGATTATACCCTCATATAACAGCTGTTTGGTTATGTTGAAGGATTTAGGTTTCTCAGTCTGTCATTTATCAACATAGTAAACCTTTCAACTTTGGAAAATATTTACCAGTTTTTGTACTGCATATATAATTGGAAATCAGATATTTGCTTATTCTAAATTGTCAAATGGTATATTTGGAGAATGGAAATAGTTATCTTCTTACTCAATGCTTTTCAGATTGTATTGTTGCTGCACTGACACTAAAGTGGTTTTGCATATTGTAACTACTGTACTTTAAGAGTTGTCTTCGTAGCATAGACCTTTCAAATCGGTAATTATTCGTAGCATAGACCTTTCAAATCGGTAATTATTCGTAGCATAGACCTTTCAAATCGGTAATTAACCTGTTGCAATCCTCTGGACATTTTCATTCTTCTATTTATATAGTAAAGGTTAAAGCTTCTCAGTGGTTATTGATATATTGATTTGTGCTTAAATAGTATTCCAGGGTTGGTGCTTTGTTAATTATACCACTTATTACTTTCATTACTCTCGGGCTGAAGGATGCTAATACCTCACACCAGTGTATCAAACAAATTTTTAATGTACTCCATGTTGAATTCCATTGTTTTTAGGTTTTAGTACTTCCGGACCAATTTTATTTAATCCAAGTATTTATTTTGCAAATAATGGAATTTTTTTTTACATTTTTTATATTTTATATTTCTTGTTTCTTTAAGCAAATATTCATTATTTAGACCTTATCTTATGTGCTTTTTTTATTGTGGTATTTGTGTGTGCACTGAGAGCCATGTACAATATATGCCACAGTCTTGGTATATTAATACTAATCTAAGATAATGAAATCCCACTTCATTACTGTACTTGTTTATTATGCATCTCAGAAGTTGCCATTGTAGGTACAGAGGCCACTTAATGTTAAGTTTATTACTCCACAAGCACAGCTGGACATTTTCATACCATTTAATTACATTCTCTAATATATTGGTTCTTTGTTGTGTATTTTATTTGTGTTAAATGTAGTTGACAGCAATCTTTTAGTGTTGCATTTTGATACATTAGTGTTCTGTTTGATTAAATGGTGTCAGAAATATTAAAAATTAATATGATATTCTACTTTTTCATAATTTGATTTTTGTGATCCATGGATCTTTTTACCCTTACAATCTTAACCCTTAGACAACAGAGCTTCAGCTTTAGTGCCTTTTGTTCGACTCTTACCCTGAGCCTGTATGTTGAAACCGTCATGCTGTCTGTACAGGATTGCTGTGGTCGCTATGGTCTTTGCTAATTCGATGTCCCTACAACACCCTCACTCTCGCTTATATCATACTTTGACCATTACTCCTCCTGTGGGCCCTGATCACTTTCACTACCTTCCTGTTTCTGTACGACTGTCTCGCTTGCAAAGTTTTCTTGGTTCATGTTGCCAATATTTCTCCTTGGGTCGTTCCATCCTTGCCCCCATGGAGAGGGCTCCTTCCGGACTTTTGTAAAACATTGACCCGTATGACAAAAGCTTTTACCCCTCCTACAGTTCTGAAACGCCTTTTCCTTGCTAGCTTTTCTTCACACTCCCACTCCATTTCTGTCTTCAGATGGGTCTAAATTTGCCAATGGTGTAGGCTACACCTTGTATTTCCTGACCACACCTATGTGTGTCGCCTGCCCCAGGAGACTAGCATCTTCATGGCAGAACATTATGCAATTTTGTATGCCATTTGTCGACTGCTTTCTCCCTGACAATCTTCCTTTGTTGTTATAGTTGGGAACCATGAGGGCCTTTGATGTTAATAGAGAGATGAGTACATATTGCACTTCTGCTCTTCAACGGGGGTATTCTGCACATCCTGCCATGCCTTCTGGTCTCATGTGGTGTTATTTCTATGTGCAGGTTTGGGACCAACCCTCTATTATTTTCCACGTGTAAATTACTATGTATCTCTCCCGCCTGCGTTCAAGAGAATACAGATTTAGGCATTTTTAGTCGGTCCCAATAGTTTAGATGTTTTACTGAGTGGATTCTAGCAGTAAAGGATCTCTGCATGCTCTCCAGGTCAGCAATTTCTCCAGCTTTGAAAGGGGCTGTCATTGCGCAGCAGTATTCGACTCTAAGAGAGCACTAGTGTCTTAAAGATACTGTACCATCATTGGTATAGCATCTGTAGTTTGAAACGTTCTTGTTATCTAACCTGTCATTTTTCTTGCAACTGTGACAGCTACTTGACTGTGTTCTTTAAAGGTAAGGTCTTCTGACATGAGTACATCCAAATCCTTTACGTTGCTTTTTCATTCTGTTATTTGACTGCATTTTGTACGTGGTTTCTGCTTTTATATTTTCATTTTTCCATAGCACAAGAGCTTCATTAAATACCATGTTATTTTCTGTAGCCCACTGAAAGACCTGATTTACATGTGATTGGAGGTTTGCTGTGCTCTGTGTGGTCTACTCTCATAAAAATCCTAGTGTCATGTGCAAAGGATGATAGTGCTATAGATTGTGTCCTTGTCTATGTCCGATATGAGGATGAGAAAAAGTACTGGAGCATGCACAGTACCCTAGGGAATTGCGCTCTTCACGGTTGATGGTCCGGATTTTATTTTGTTGACTTACACATTGGGGTCTATTAGTCAGGAAATTGTAGATCCCTCTGCCTATTTTTCCAGTAATAACTTTTGCACACATTTTATGTGCAATAACACCATGGTCACTTTGTCGAAGGCTTTTGCAAAATCTGTGTAAATTACATCAGCGTTTTGCTTGTCTTCCATGATATCAAAGGCCATGTTGTAGTGGTCCCAGCAACTATGATAGGCAAGAGCACCCTGTTCTGAACCCATGTTGTCCAGGGTTATGGAGATGCTGTGATTCCATGTGTTTTGTGATCTTATTTCTTAGCACGAAAAGATTTTTATGGTGTGATGTTAGTGCTATTGGTCTGTAATTTTTTGCCTCTGCCTTATTTCCTCTTTTATGGAGTGGTGCTATCTCTGCTGTTTTTAGTATGTCGGGGATAATGCCAGTATCTAGCTTTATCTCCAAAGAATGTGAAGGGTCTGTGACAGCGGTTTTTTAAAGTTCTTGATGCATTATGGTTTTCCAGGAATCGGCCTGGTGCAGAGTGCATAGGCATACTGTCTATGACTTCTTCAAAATCCAGTAGGGATAGGGTGACATCTGATATATGGTTTGATGTTGGCATCCCATCCATGAAAAATTCATTTGGGTTATCAATCTTTAATGTGTTTAGCGGCGCGCTGAAAACAGAGTTGTACTGATTCCTCAGAATTTCGCTAGTTTCTCTGTTGTAATCTGTGAAAGTTCCATCTCTCTTTCGCAAGGGCCCAATACTATATGTAGTTTTTTATCTTGATTTTGCATGGGAGAAAAAATATTTTGGATTTCTATTTCACTGATAGCCTTTTGCTCTGTCTCTCTTGGATTTTGTATGAGTCTTGTAGCTTTAGTTCAATTGTTTCTATTTCTCTACCTAGCTGCCTTCGTCGTTCTTAAGATAGGGTGTGACTCGATTTGTTCTGCAATTCGTTTTCTTCGCCTAAAGAGGGAATGCTGTTCCTGTTCCAGTCTGCATCTCTTCCTCTTTTTTTGTAGGGGTTTGAGCATATTTCTAGAGCTACTGAGTTTATTTTTTCCAGGTATTGGCTCAAGTTTGCATTTTCTAACTGTTCTTCCCAGCTTATTTCTGTGAGGTCTTGGTTTATTTGCTCCCAGTTAATCTGTTTATTAAAATTGAATTTGCCGAATTCTCGTCCACTGGGGCTTGGGACTGGTTGTGCAGGTCTACTCCCCATGCCTGTCAGAACTTCAATTAGATTATGATCTGAGTAACAGGTATTTGCTATCATTATGTTCCTGATCAATTCGTCATTATTAGTGAAAATGAGGTGCAACGTGTTCTGTTTTCTGGTTGGTTTTACTATTTGCTGGTTTAGGGCAAACCTGTTGCACATCTGTAGCAGGTCATCTACATGTGCCTGTTTATTTAGGCTACTTCCTGGTATTCTTTGATATATCTGTATTACCTAGGAGCTTCCATTTCAGGTGCCGTAGGTTGAAGTCCCCAAGCAGGATAGTGTTTGGAGCTGAATTTGTGAGGTTTTCTAAACAGGGTTCTATTTTCATTAGTTGGTCTTTAAACTGCTGAGGATTTGCCTCTGGTGACTTATATACAGGTAAACTCAAATATTCACAATATATGTGACAGTACGACTTAGTATTAAGTGAAAATAAGTACAATTCCTAACTGCTATGAATAGTACATAATTGCACTTATTTGTCTTCTTACATTTACCACCCCATTTTTGGAGGACGGGCTGTGGAAATATGATCCTTGAGCATTCTTTTTGTGTGTGTGGAATTCAGGGTGATTGCACATATTTGGAGTTTTAAAGTGGGAAACATGGGTAATAATAAAAACTATTTTTCTATATTTTTATTTCTCCTGAACCTTAAACTCGATAAAAAATCATCTGCTGAGGCGTAGAAACATGGCATGTTTACATTCTGGGCTGTCCTCAGGTAGATACTTGTCATAGAATCCAGAGAGAAACTCCTCCACTTTGAAGGCAAAACGCTGATACAAAATGAATGCTGGATTTGTTGCAGAAACATGGTCACGTCTTTACCCATGCATGTCTGTGGCCCAAGAGAAATGCTTACTGTAACTATTGGTTAGTAATTAATATAATGAGGGGGAATGGGAATGGGGCTAAGGAGAGGAGGGGCCAGGAAAGTGGGTGGAGAGGGATAGGAAAGTAAGATAAGGTAATTATCAAAGGAGGCACCAAACCGGGAAGGCTATGTAGCACTATCAAATATGCTGGATAATCAGAGGGCGCTAAATATCACCAAGGATGCCAGTACGAGAGGGATAGGAAAGAAGTAGGTAATGGGGGGGAGAGAAGGCACAAGAGGTTGATAGGTACCTGGAAAGGATGGAGGGTAAGGAAAAATAGGTCAGAGGGAAGAAGTAGGAAGGTAAGGAGGGACAGGAAAGAGGTAGGGAGATGGGAAAGATGCAGCATATCTGGGGGAGGGTTTCGGGAGTTCTACTCTCCACGCTCTGTCTGAGGCCAGGCTTGAACCAACTTTGTTCACCGAATTATTATTTTTTTTTTTTTTTTTTTTTTTTTTTTTTTTTCCATTCACTACTCTGCCATACAATTTGCTAATTACACTTCGTAACCAATTGCCTCTTACACTCTTGAAGTCCTCTTACATAAATATTTTGGTTTGTTGTTGGGCTTAAGGCCTATGAACCTGAAGGGTTATTAATAAGGCCACAACAATAGCTTAATGACCGCCCAGCAAGAATAATATAGTCCTGGATTATGTTCCATACTAAATTCTATACATGTATACTGAGAAACCAAGTGATCAGCCAATACTCCAGATATTCCCTTTATTGTTTTATATCAGATATTATGTAACATTCATCTTAATACAAGCACATACAGTTATCAATCAGGTTCTTCAATAATCTTTCATTATTCACATAATGACGTCAGTAATTATCAAAAGAAGGCACCAAGCCAAGGAGATTATGTAGCACCATCAAATGTGCGGGATATTCCAAAGGTGCTAAAGATCACCAAGGATGTCAGTACTAGAACAAAAGTGCATAAGGCAAACAATACCAAAGGTATCTGATTCACCAAGGATTCTATTAAGGGACAGGTGACTGCGAGGGACAGTCGGAGAGCAAGACGCAAGCATAATGACAAGTAAACTGATGTATATCCTTAAGCTTAAAACGTGCAATATCAGTAGTGCACATCGCCTACTTACTCATTCCTCAATTCCTGCATTTAAAATTCCGATTTGGTTAAATATGACTGCATAGCTGGCATTGTTGATCATATAGTGAGCTTTCTATGCTTCTAGCTACAGGTATTTTCTTACTGTATCGGTAATAACCCTTAAACGGTGCAACTGTTAAATGCAGACAGAAAGTGTTTCTGGCGTCTGCTGCGGTGTGCAAGAAAAACAATTGTCCTGAAAAAATTGTTTCTTTTGACATTAGTAATTAACCTTCAGGAAGCACAAAACCCCAAGTAAAAAGTCTCTACTTCTTGTGTTTCAGCTCAAGTGGTCT